CATCCTGAAAGAACTTAAGCATACAGTTAATTTTAAGCATATGAGAGGCATAAAATTCAAGATGAGTATTTGTGACCTTCACATTGAGCCCATTTTTAATAGTTCTAGTATTTTCAATTGCTGTGTTGAAGCACAGTAGAACAAGCTTAACAGCAGAAATGGGTTTAGTGCCTCTCCTCTCCCTACCACTTCCATGTCCTGTATCCAACTCAGTTCCCCGTGGGACCACCAACATTCCTTCCTTGGGCTCCTGACATCCACTTTGCAGTAGTTTCTAAGATCCTACCTTCCTATGTTGCAGTCTCCTCATAGCATTTTGTCCTTGGGCTTGCTCCTGGCATTTTTTCCTTGCTGCTAGACACTGCATATGTGTAAAGTCCAAGTGAAAATGCCCGTGTTAGCTTTTCATGCTCTACTCACAGTTCCACATCAACAGGCTACTTTTCTTCTCGTCCTCTAAACATTACTCTGACGCTTTGTCTTTATCATTGGCACATGCATGTGACATCGTCAAGCACTACAGTGTCTCACTTGAGGAATGGCTGCATTTTAGTTGTCTTTGCGTAGATTATCAGTTTTGGTGTTGCTTTAGGGCTCCAGGTAAAGCTGTTCCACAACAACGTGATCTTGTAAATAATCCATTATAAATTATTCTTTATCTGCACACAGGTAAACAAACATCTCACACCTTGCAGATGTTGTTAGCTGTGGTGAAAAATCACAAGGTAGCTGTTGATTTTAGCAGAACAATCAGCACAAAGTATCAAAAGGTGGCTGTGCCTCTGCCCTACCATGTGGCATGATCAGCTTGAGGCAGATGCATTTTTTAGGTATGGTCTGTGTTTTGCAAAACAAGACAGTTGAGGACAGGATGCAGTCCTACAGGCATGGTGAGCAGATCACATCTGTCTTATTCATCAGTTTTTCCAGCTTCTGGGAGATCCACCAGAACAAAGTATCACCAGAAGGACACGTGTTTTATAAATAAGCAATGACAGGCAAAAAGCAATTGAATTAGATCCCCAAAGCTTTACTAAGACAGATGATCCTTGAAAGCACAGCTAGGATATTAAACATAGTGAAAGTATAATTCTTAATTTCTAGGCATCTGTGAGAATAATTACCATTCTTTTGGGAGCATTGTAGTGACTGTAGCTGGTAGATGTCTAAATGAGACAATATTTCCTTTTGATATTGTATCATTAAGATAACTGATTCCTATACCCAGACAAATGTTTCATATAACTCTTTTCTTCCTTTTCCTAATGTGTGCAATTGTGAGAAAGCAGCACTGTAGGGATTTAGTGGCTGTATCTCTTTATGAGCCTGAACTGTGACATGGAGGACTCAGTGAGTTTATTGATTTTAATTTCTTATATTTGGGATTTATCCTCTCAGCTTTTACTTAACAGCTGAGAATACTCACAGTATTGACATAGAAGACTGTCTACCCAAGGGCAAATTTCAGATCCTCATTTCTCCACCTGTGCATTTATTTGTTTGCTTCTGGATGGATACCAACTGCCAGGCTTTGATCCAGGCTTTGATCAAGAGTGGCTAACGGGTACACTCTGTGAGAGAGCATTCCTCTCTCTTAGTCTCCATAACCAGAGCTGGGGGTGGGGAGGGGGGGGGAAGCAGACTTCCATGGTTATCAGAGAGAAAGATCAGGTATGCCCTTTGAAGATACTTTGTTATTGAAATCTCGATTATCACCTATGATTTGGTCTGAAAACCCTAAACAACAAGGCATATAGGAGAGTTTTCTAGGGGGTAAAGGGATCTGAAAGATGTATTGATAGCTGTGGGTGCCAGGATATTTATTTTTCCTAGGAAGACAGCCAGAGTGGTCCTGAAAGCAACGGTATAGAAAACCTGGTGACAAATCCGCTTTTCAGGCTGTTACATGAGAGGTACCATCCTGCTTTGCAGTAATGAGGAAAATGTAGCAAGTTTTTGGTTTAAAGCAGACTCAGCACTTCCTGGGCCATTTCAGTATAGGAAGGAGTGTTGATTAATCAGGTTAATTTCCTTACTGGAGCATTTAAGGACTAAGCTAATAAGGAGCTTTGTGACTGAGAATTCATGTGGTGACACAGGGAAGGTGAAGAAACATGAAACAACAGATGGAGTGTGCCTGTCATTCCCAGAAGAGGTGTTTTCTCCTGTGGATGCACTACTGAACTTTGGTGCCAGGAGGAGCAATAGCTGTCAATGATTTGTGGTTCACCTTGCTCACTTACCTGCTCTTTTCTTCTTGGTACCATTTTTATCTTCTTCAACTTCCTTAACATCTATGAGGCACGTATTTGTACCCTATTGTGCCTCTACATTCCAGTGTGCAGAGCCATAGGCTAGATGTTGCTGCAACATTAGGTATTGCTGCCAGAGAGAATTAATGGCCACAGGATGCTAAGGGTAATGAACTCTAATGACTTTCTTACTTGACTGCCTTGGTTCAGTAACACAGGGATTGATGTAAGACTTTCTTTAAAAGGTATTCAACCTACATATTTCCTTGCTTCCTTTGGTCCCTCCACTCTCCCTTCCTTTACCTTCTCTCTTCCAGTATTTCCAAGCCTGGCAGGCCGGTGCTGCTTTCTCCATCTTCTGTTTTGAGATGGCATCAATACCAACCAGCCACAGGGCAGAGCTGTGTCCAAAGCCATTTCCAGTTCTCCCCGTGTGAAGGGCCAGCATGCATTCATGACCATTACGGATGCTACAATGGACTCATTCGTGGACTTGCTTCTTTCTGCTGTGAGATTCCCTGGCCCTAGTGCTGTGTTTTCCTTGGCACAATGAGTAAGACAAGAGGGAATTTTTAAGCTGAAATTTCTCTGGCTCTGGGAAACATTTCCCCACACACATGTCCTAGAAGAGATCTACTGCATCCCGAATTGCACTCAGCACTTGGAATGTGGTGACGTCTCCACATTTCATGACCAAACATAGTCTCTACCATTGCTCAAGAGTAGAATGGGCCCTAGCCTAAGGTCCTTTATCGACTGCTTTTGTCATGCTGTCCATTTGTACCTACTTGGAGGAAAGTTGTGCTGTCTGCTGCTCATGATGCCAAGCTGCCTGGCAAAAGAGATTTGCTGTAATTGTGGTATTTTTGCTCTTCTCTTTTCAGCTTTTTAGGCAGAAGTGAGTCAGTCTTCTGCTTCATGGTTCTCTCCTTCACAACTCTTCTGGTCTCGTGCAAGACTTTCCTAAAATCGATGAATACTCACTGCAAGCTGATCCATAATAGGCTTAGCGCTTCAGCTTTGCTTTCTTCCAGGGACCATTTAGGTAAGGACAAGTCCCTGTTTTATCTGATGAGAGGATAATGCACAGGGGTGCAGTTCTACCATGCTGTACTTAAGCCCGGATGTCGCACAGAAACTGAGACCAGTGTCATATTAAGCCTATTGTCAGAGGTACCAGAATGAACTCTTTGTACAGTAGCTTCAGATTAATCCTGGTATTAGTGAGTCCTGAAAACAACCACAGCATGTTTTAATCAAACAAAGCACAAACAGTTCTCACTTAGACTGGGAGGGGAAATGATAAGGGTCATTTCATCCCTTCATGTCTAATGCAGACTATGACAGATGGAGGAACCATGGGGAATACTAATAAAATGGGATAGGAAGAGACTCTTCACTGTAGGGAACACCTGACCCTTCAGTTATCCTTCATCCCAGGTACCTCTTGAGTGTTTGAATAGGAGTTACTTCTTTTGCAGTCATGAGCACACACAGCTCCTCCCACAATCTGGTCATGCACTGACTCCTGTCCAGCTCAGCGCTTCTCACACACACGCACCTTTCCCTGGGTAAAGCCACTTCAGATGTCCCCTCCCCTAAAAGTGAGATTCCTGTTTCCAGGATCAGACTGGACACATTCACTGCCAATGGCTCTATTACAGCTGTGTGCTCACAGTGAATAGCCCCTGATGATTAAACACAGATGCAAAGTATCCTTTTAGCAGTGCAGTTGGTAAAATCAACATTGTAAAACAAGAGCCTTCACATTTTTCCTTTGTTTCCTTAATCTGTGGATTTATTCAGGATAGTTTTTTTGTTTGTTATGGAAAGTGTAGCTAAGCTTGAATTTTGGATGAACATATTAATTGCACCCACCAGATTAAGATTTGTCACTGCTGATCTTCTAGAGGGGATAAAAGAACCCTTTAGTAGCCCCACAGTAGCTTGGCTGAACTGCTTCCTGTGCTGACTAAATTAATAGGGGTTACTGGATAGCTTTCCACTGCATCATGCAATATAGATATAATTCAAGACAACGGAGTATCAGTAGCCTTTTAAGATTGCCCTTGAATCACATAGTGGGTGAGTTCATGAGTTGCAGTCCAAGGGAAGCAGTTTTCTCCAGGCATTTCTGCAGAGAGATGGAGCTTGAATATGGAAATAGAGACAAATAATTGTGGGACAGTTTTCAGAGGGGCTTCAGGCAGAAGGAAGAAAAAGGTTTGCCAGCAGAGAAGATGAACAGCTTAAAGCTGAACAAAGAGAAAGCAACCACTCTCAGGAATATTTCCACAGCCCAGAAGTCAGGCATCAGCATCAAGTACCAGCCCCTTTTTCCATGCTCTCAAGACACTTCTAAGGAAAGTAGTTGGAACTGTGCACAGACAGAGATGTTTCCCTGCTTGGGTCCTACTTGAGCACACCAAGTCCTGATCCCTCCACAGGGACTAAGCCCTGCAACAAGGCTGGGGCAGCCTAGAGGTTGGAGTTGAGGATACGCCCTACAGGGAATGCTTTTCCCTGCATCACTAGACCAGACCAGCACTCATGCGGGAAACATAATTAAAACACAATGCATTGAAAAATAACTGCTTTAAGAAAAATATTAAAAAAAACAGATCTGGAAGATACAAATCTAAGGGAAAACAAATAACCCACTGGTGCCCAGCCTGACAGTCAGGTTATCAGATGGCAAAAAAAATTATTTCTTTATTTAACTACTGTTTCACCCTTCCCAACACTTACCGTGCTGCGCATTTCTTCCAGTTTTCAAGCAGCCTATACCCCTTAAGCCCAGCTCCACGTTTCTGGGGAGGAAACGTTCAGTCCTGGTTGCATCTGCAATGACAAAAAAAGTGTTTCCAGGCAGAGAGGGGCAAAAGGTATATAGTCCATCTTGCAGGTTACTTGCCTGCATCAAAAGAAAATGATGCAGGAGATGATCTAAAATGATCTAAAAAGATGAGAATTAGCTCCATGCCACTAGGGAAGGAGATTTCCAGCTTGCCTATGCAAACAAAGCCAGGGGTGAGTTCAGCTCATTAACTCAGCATAAACCAAACTACCTCTTTTCTGCTGTACTATTTTTTTCTGCCAGATCAGTGAGCTGTATCAGCATAGAGAGAGTACTACAGGTGCCAGAGCTTGCATAGATAAACGGCAAGATCTTAAATGTTGGATTGGAGAAGAAAGAAGTTTAGTGAGCAGTAGTCAGCAAGGAGACGTTCTTACCCCATCTGATGGTACTCTGAGACTGTAAAACTGGTAAAACAGGGATTGAACTTCAGCACTTACGTGTGCTTCTTGATCTGTACTTACAGCTGGATAAACCAGAATTTATAATATAGCCAGAAATAAAGCAAAACCTATAATGAACACAATACCATCTCTGCATGGGAGTATAATATAATCTCCATTATATATTTGGTGGGTGGATGAGAAAAGTGGTGATCAAAGTTATGTACAGGAGTTCCTGCTCCTGCAGGACCAGTGACACTTGCTGTGGATTGCACATGGACTCTCACAGAAGTCTGTTTAAAATCTGATGGGTTGGCTCTTGACATTGCCATTTTTTGCTCCTTTGTTATGGCCAAGTTTGCTCTGCACAGACCTCCTCCAGCCTTCACAGAGGATATCTGGCCTCTCTGGGACCCACTTAGCAAGATGTTAAACCCAATCTCCTGCCAGCCAGGAAGAGTGGCTGGCAGAGTCCCTTGCAAACACTCTCCTGTACTTACTGTACCTATTGTCAGTGGGAGAGAGCTGCCTCGAAGATGTACATGGAGCAGGCTGGCTCTTCAAAACCTGCTCGACACACTCTGCCAAGCAGCTCCCTGGCAGTGCCAAGCTGACCTGGGGTAGATGCCACGGCCAAGTGGCCAGTTCCATTCTGAAACCCAGCCAACAGCTTCCTTGGTGCCCTGGTCATTCAGGAATGAGTCACAGCCTTGGCCATGGCTTTCCCGTATTCCAGAGAGCCCCAGCATGCACATTTGTCACTTGCTGATGTATGCTTAGAGATTTTCTCTTTTTTCTGCTTTTTTTTTCTATTTCTTTTTTTTTACCAGATAGTGAAGCTTATGGTGCCTTGCTGTGTGATTAACTAACAGCCTCCTGATGCCTGTGGGAATTACTACATCCAATGCTTTTAGAGAAGGTATTTGTACTGCTTTTACCTGCCACTCTCCATATTGATCAATTGCTGTTTTCAGGAATTTATTTCTACTGTACTTCAAAGATCACCTTACCTTAAATTCACTCTGTCTCCTGGATACATGTTAGCAAGAGAAGTATGGGTTGTGTTGCATTTTCTCTGACTATTATTCCATATTAAAAGAAGATTAATTAGAATGACTTCGCTTAATATGTCATGGTGCAGTGAGTGGACTTTCAGTTCCCTCAATTTAAAGTACTTAAGGCTATTTCTCCTGTTACATCCTGTGTTTGCATCATTTGTATTTTTTCCTTAAGTAATTTTTACTTCTGGTGAAGTCTGCTGGGCAAGAGCCCTGGAGCCTGCAGGCAAACGTCTGCAGAGCAGCTCTCCCTCACCAGTACTCTGAGAGCATCCCTCAGGAAGGGTGACTGCCAAAGGGAGCAACCAATAAGAAAGAGGGTGAGGGGCTTCTTTCAGGTCCGGGACTGGCTCCCAGTCCTTGGGCAGAGATACATGGATAATTGAACACAGGGAGAGAAATTCAAAACAAGCCCTCTACCAGGTAAAAAATTATAAAGAACAAGTAATAAACAATCTCCTTTCAAATACAATAGAATGAAGAATACTTGTGTATAATCTTGTCTGGTACAGAAATTATACGATACACAGTCTTATACTGCACAATATATAGGATATTTCAATGGGGCTTCAGTGTTTGGAAACAAAACTTGAAAAGGACAGTTTTCTAGTACTTTCTGATAAGGCACATTCTTCCCTTATAATATCCTAAGACTCGATCAAAAAGGATGGTGACTTTAGGTCAAACCTTCTGCTTCTCAATACATTCTCATACTGAAATTTATAAGCTTCTGCTCCTCTTTTTTTTAAAAAAATACTAAAAATTTGAAAGTGATCTAAGCCCAACCATTATTGCTTGGCTGCTCACCATTTTAGACAGAAAGCTGTTCAGAGGGGAAGAATTGACCATTGCAGTCACACTAACAGGAGATATTTGTTCATGGTGAAGACTTCCTTGAAGACAACAGCAATACATCATTGGTAAATTTAATCTGTTGTATCACTAGTTTGACATTCCTAGCAGCCACTGGCAGAGAGTTCCCAGGGACTCGGCGCTCACCCAACTTGTCTCCTGTCTGTGTCAGGAGTAGCATGCCAACCAAGGATGAAGAGGGAAGGAAAGCTTTGGAAAATACCATCACATAAATGGAAAACAATTGAAAATCCCTACCTTAGGTTAATTTCAGAAACTGTCCAGCCTAGTATCTAATGTCAGCATGCTTTCATATCGATGATAAAGTGGAAAAAAAAGCAAAATGAAAAACAAACAAACAAACAAAAAACATTCCTAGCTGATGGAAAGAAAAAACCAGACATATATATATGAACAGTCACAGAGATATAGTAGCTTCCAAGTCAGTTACTGCCAATAAAGTGAGTGCTGTTGACTGCAGAGTATCCAGGATATGTTATTTGTATATATTAATGAGGAAAAAAAAAATAAATCCAACAAATTGGGAGCATAGTGCAGGGAGAAACTTCCTGGGTCATAAAGTCCAGACTACGAGTATCCCAGGCACCACATAATTGACTCCTTTTCATCTGAGTTATCTCTGGTTTTCTAGATTAATGTGGAAAATATGTAAAACAGGAGAAGCAATACTAGCAATAAGAAAGTAAAAAATGATTGTACCACAAACAAAGCCACATCAGCTCTGAGAGCAGCCATAAACATAACAATGTGTAAGGCTCAGACAGGTAAGGCAAAGACTAAAGTGTAGTGAAAATGATTAATTTTCGAAGAAATGTGTTGTGATCTTAATACACCTGTATCACAGGAGTGTCAGAAGGGCTTCAGGACAGAGGCACCAAAGGAGAGAGTGTTGACTGGGGGGCTGTTTGGTGCCTCACTCCTACTGTGCTCTGGGTTTTCTTCCACGCCTGCCTGATAGTGTGGGAAAACTCTCCATCTTAACTTCAGTTCGCGAAAAAACTCAGCTTAATGTAAGCAGAGATTGACACAGATGGGAACACAGTTGTGTCCTGCAGGGATAAATCATGTCTCTGGCAGAAGAGATTCAGAGCTGCTGATTCGCTGCGTTTACTAAGTGGTTTAACATCCACTGTAGCATCAGCACCAGCATCTGTCCTCTTTTCCTTGTCCTGCAGTGTCCACTAAGCTGCACAGTTGCATTTCCATTAAGTCTTCTTGTCTCCAGCAACTTTAATTATTCTGTGAAAACTGAGATTTGGGAGCTCAGTTCTCCTTGGATAGAGGTGGAAATCAAAGTCTTTATCTTTTATCAAATCAAAGCCCAATGTCTTTTACAGGAAGGGAAGGGAAAAGCAATAGCAAACTACATGAGGCAGAGGGAATTGATTGCAACCAGCCATATGTAATTACATTGTGGAGGACATTTAATATTTCATCTTGATCTTTGCTGTATCAGGAGAGCAAAGAAAATCAACATATGAGGAAAAGAGAGGCTGCAATGTTACTTGATTTGAATTGTAAATTCTCACAAGCAAAACCATAAGGTGCTTTCAGACAACCTGTACTGCTGTTGCCTGAATGTATGTGACCCAAATTCCAAGAAGAACCAGAAAGCCACTCCACCTGCTTGGAGACAACAGTGGCCCTAAGCCATCATGGCCGGTCCCCAGCACAGAAGGTATTTAATCCAATGGTTGTAATGAATTTCTTTCCTCCTTTGCTCCTGGGCAGCTACAGACATACTGGCAAAGGGCTCACTGGTTAACCACTGCAAAGAGGAAAGAGTTTTGAATCCCAAAATCTTAAATAGTTCCATCCTTAAAGCCAGGCCTTTTAAGCAGCACAACATGGGTTTTAGTTATGACTGGTGTAAGCAATGTGCACACACATAGGAAGAGACAATTACTGCTCAAGAATGTTTAGTCTTAAAAGGAAAAGATGGGAAGGTAAACAGAGGCTCTGGAGCAAGATCGAACAGAACAAGAGGAAGGGTAGAAGCAAAGATCCCTGCTACACTAAGGGCATATATGTACTTAGGCTATATGCATAGGCTTGCAAATCCTCCAAGAAAGCACACCTAGTCAATCCACTCAGTCTCCACTGCATTCTACTTCTGATGTCTGGTCCTAAAAAAATAGGCCATACGTTTGCTGGGATGGGAGAAAGCCAGTGGCAGCACCTAGCAGGAACCTCAAGAGGGGAGGATAAGGCATTACCGAGCATCCTTACACACCAAAATACATAACCTTAACCTTATGACTCTGACTGGACCAATTTGTCTTTAGAGTTTGGCCACCTACCACAGAAATTCAGCTCCCTGAGGTGTTTCAGAGCTGGCTCAAGCTACAGCTTACTTCACAGAGGGAATAATTGCCCCAAGAGCTCCATGTACTCATCCTTCCTGCAGCCTAAAGCTGCCAAATACCTCTCTGTTTGCCTTGATCACTTCCATACTCTGCCAGCTGCGACTCAGCTGTACATATTAATTATTGTAAAAGAGGGGGAGATTTACTCATTGCTCCAGATGATTAATCAGCTAGTCAGGCATAACACCACCCATGCTATTGTAATTGCAGTCAAATAATGTTATATGCACTGCAATCATAGGCATCATCAAACACCAGAGGAGCCTCGTAATATAAGCAGTGTCATCTGTTCATAGGCTCTACA